TGAGGGGAGGTCAGGCTGGAGACAGAAGGGATGATAACCATGGAGCTGTCAAGGGCATCTCCGGGGCTTAGGCCAGCACTGCAGAAGCTAGACACTGCCGAAAGCAGCATGTCCTGGCCCTGCTTAGTGCCAATTGATAAAAAAGGGAATGCATTGAGAAGATAATCCCGTATACTAGCAGGCCTGGCCAGTTGTCACACAGACTCTGAAAATGGACCTTGGAATCATCGGAACCATGATTGAAAATACCACTTTGACCAGAGTGAGCCACTCTGTGGAGAATATAGCTGCTGGAAGGTTCATGTGTGTGAGCAAGGGAGATGGAGGGGGTGGAAGAATGCAGCAAAGAGAGAGGAAGAAAAAGGAGTTAGTAGGTAGAGAAAAATAGTCTATTAGAAATAATAAGTTCATGACATCTGTTGAACACTTAATGGCTGCTCGTTTCTAAAATGTACACACACACCTGACTTTCACCAGATGATTTGAGGTATATAAAAATCATTGTCTGTAACCATCAAGGAACATTTAGACTAGACCATATTCCAGTTGTCTCATTTGTTCCTTAAAAGTCTTTTATAGCATTTTTACTTCAATCTGTCATCTAGTCAATTATTTTTTTCATTTAATTGCCATAAATTAAAAAGGCAAAGAGGAAAAGGATATGGAATAAAGTGGGCAAAATGTTAAATATTGGTGAATTGGGGTAAAGCATGTAGGGGAGTTATTGTTAGTATTCTTGCCATTTTCTGTAAGTTTCAAATTGTTTCCAAAGAAAAACTTATAAGGCCCCTCCAGTAATGTCACATTTTTATAGTTTATTTATTCATTGAGCAAATTATTATTTTCTTTGTGTGACCACCCTAACCTCTTTAAACTCTTTAACCGCTAAACTGCAGTCATAGGGATTTTGTTTTTGCTCATTAAGAACAGGACAGTTTTCTCACTTTTGAACCTTTGCTCTTGAGCTGTGCGTGACTGGACCCTTCTTTTCCTTTTGCTCACAGCTGAAATGCCGTTTCCAAAGAGAGACCATTCCTGTGCAATGAAGTGGTGGCCCAATGACTTTCTGTCTTCCTATTTTAATTCTTTGCCTGGCCTCCATCACCAGCTAGTCTAGTTTGTTTGGCTTATTCAGCCATGTATTCCAAAGCACCCCAAAATAATACTTGGTAAATACTCAAAACAATTTGTTGAATTAATAAACAAATCCAAATACTCAGAAATACTTAGTCCATAGAAATAATGACAGTTCCAGATGTATGGTGGTTAATGGGAAAATTGGTGCAAAAACATTGGGCAGGGGAAATATACTCAAAGATGTTATTGTATTTCATCTAGTCAGAACCAACACATAGCTGACCCTCCAGCAGAGCTCCCTTAGTCTTACATTAAAATCTTGGTGAACGATGCACATTTATAGCTCTGGTGGCCCAGATTTAAGAAGCTGCACTACAATCCCGAAGACATGCAGTTTGAGGCCACCAGCTGCTCTGTGGGAGAAGATGCACAATCGTCTCCCGTGTGATTAACTGCCGCTGAAAACCACTGGAGGGTCAGCAATAGGTCGGTTCTGACTCTACAGTACACAGACAGCAACAAGCCAATATTAAATGTCAAAGTAATATAAAACCTTTCATAGTAGCCATTCTAATAAACTTTTTTTTATTAACTATGAAATACCTGTTGTTATTGTGAAGTATTGTTGAGAAAGACTCATAGTGGCCATGTGAATAATACCCTGCACAATCCTTAGCATCCTTGAAATATCTACACATTATATTGGTTAAGAACATATTCAATGAGAGCGGATTTTTCATGTCTTTAGATACCTCGACTGTTGCTACCATGGTGTTAATTGGAGAGCCAAGTAAAATGAAATCATGGGCATATGGAAGCATTTTGGGGGATTTAAAAATGTTCTTTGATTTCTTTTGCTTCTTTTATCTAACTATATTTTGTGAATTTCTAGAAGTCAGATGTGATATAATTATGTCATTTTTTCACAATAAAAAAAGAACATATTTACTGTCAATATGAATATATATAGCAGTGGTTCTAATTATATGAGTAATGAACTCACTCAACACATTTCTGGAACGTTGCATCAAACTCATAGCTGACCCTCTTTTGAGTTTCCAAGGTTGTAAATCACATGGGAGGAAACTTCTCATCTTTCTCCTGTGGAGTGGTTGGTGGGTTTGAACTCCTAGAGAGGCTGAGTCTTTTGGTTAGTAACAAACTCTCTATGTTGGGCTATACCACTAGTGTTCCCTTGAAAATAAAGCAGAGTGCTCCCTTGAAAATAAAACAGAAAGGCAATATACATACAAAAATAATGAAATGGAATTATATTTTCTTTTTATTTTAAAATTTTTCTACATATACTTTTGTTTTTCTAATTTAAAAGTACTTTTGGAAGCAGAAGTGGCATCCACTTCCCAAATAACATACCTCCAGAAACTCTGTGAACTTTGAAAAATGTTGATAGTTTTAGAAAGGCTTCAGGCCCTTTGTTCATAGGTTCATTATGAGTCATGCTTAACTGGAAGGCAGTCAATAACAACATTTTACTAAAAATACTATACATCAAAAAATACCATATAACATGATAGAGGCTAGAGAACATTATGCTGAGTGAACTAGCTCAGTCTCATAAGGACAAATATTTCATAGACCATTATTGTAAAAACAGAAGGATAAATTAGTAAGATGTATATAAATGTAAAAAGATGGAAAGGGGAGGGGTAGATGGCTAAGACTAGGGAGGAGGGATCATGGGGTCATAGAGTTTAGTTAGTGGAGGGTGAGGAAATTAAGAGAGATCCAATAGGGATCTGAAAAGATAGGGTAATAATAGATATAGATAAATGGTGATGAATAAGACACAATGTATTCAACACAATGTGAATGGGGGGAAATAAACAGGTTAGGCATAACACGATAGTCATAAAACTGAATGCAGTTTAAAGATTGCAGGACTTTCTGAAATTTGGCATGCTTGGTAAAGTTTTAGGAGAACAATGGTAATTGGTCTGGGTTTTGAATAACTGTTAGGGCCTTTAAGGATAGACAGATGGTAGAAAGCCTTTTAGGTTAAAGAAGTAGAATGAACAAGCTAGGGAAGAAGCAGCTAACACATATGAAACTGTGGAGGCAGGCTTAACTGAATGAAATGCTCTTGTTTGAATAATAGTGGGAAATTTGGTACAGAGTAAAGTGGGATTACAATTCAGAAGACCTTTACAATTTGGCTGTGAGGTTAAGCTAGAAATCAGGGGGGGAAATAAGGAAATATTTCTTGAGGAAAAGGGAAACATTATCTCATGAGTGTTTTAGGAAAATCATTCTGTGCAGGGAGTATATCAGAGCTGGCGCTTACAAGGTAACCATCACGATCCATCTGGCATCCATGGCAGACACCAGAATCCATCGCAGCTTGGCTCTGCATGAAAGCCTTAGGACCATCTTCATCCAGCCTTCCAGTCAGGCATTGCTAATCAAAGTTGGAGAATGAAATTTTATCTTCTTCTGTGTGAGTCATATTTAAAAAAAAAATCATTGTGTTTCTGAGGCTATAAATGTTTACGGGAGGAAACTGCCCATTTTTCTCCCACAGAGTAGCTGATAGATTCAAACCACTAAACTTCTGGTTAGCAGCTTAACACGTAACCACCTATGCTTCCCAAGCTCCATGTGTAGCATTTAAAAAAAGCAAAAGATGAGAAAGAGAAGGGAAGAAAGGTGGAAGCCCAGAAAAAAAATGACTAGAAATTTAGTAGTTCTGGAAACATAAAAAAGAATTAAGTGTCTTGAGATGTTTCTGTATTTGTAAATCTCTATTTTGATTATAGTCAGAAACAAATAATTTTTAAATCATTATTTTAAATTATCTAAGTTATTTATCATTCTTTTAAAAATTACTTATTTATCTGTTATAGAAGTATTTAGCTTCTTATATGGTCTTTGTCACTGATGTGTATTTTCTAGACACATGCTTTTTTATAAAAAAACACTTAAATATTTAATAAGCTTGAAAACAGTAACTTCAAGGAATGATGTACAAAAAGAAAAAGACTTCTTACCAGATTTAGATGCACCTGGTCTGTCCACTCATGGGAGTTAAATTGTCAGAATATGTTAAGGCACTATTTTTTTGGGTGGGTGGTTTTGTTTTTTTGTTTGTTTTTTTTTAAAAAAAGGAGGTTTTCTGTTTTTTCAAAAGCTGCTTTTAGATTTCAAAATAGCAAACAAATTAAATATAAGATGAAATTGTCTCATCTTTGTGGGGGAAGGGAAAGCTGCTTTGTCAGTGTGTGGACTGCAAACAGAGCAGAATGTTTATCTTTGCTGTATGCTGAATATGGAAAATAAAGTTAGCAAGAGCCAAAGGCCTTCTTTTGAATAACTTCTTGGCAAAAGGAAAAACATAAATCCAGTGGCAAAGCTGCTTTCTCCTATGGATATCATGCTTGAAAAGGAAGAAGGTCAGAGAGAAAGAGGAATACCTTCAACCAGATGAATTGACATGGGACCTCCAGCAATGGGCTCAAGTATGTCAGGTTTGATGAAAATGGCACAGGATAAGACAAGGTTTAGATCTGTTGTTTATGGGATCACCATGAGTCATACTCAATAGCACCTAACAGCAACATATGCTTTACTATGTTGTTGTGTGCCGTAGAGTAAGAACCAACCCATAGCTGACCCTCTGGAGAGTTTTCAGAGGCAGTTAATCACACAGGAGGAGATTGCCCATCCTTCCGTGGAGCAGCTGGTGGATTTGAATCACCTTGCCTTTGGGATTACAGCACAGCTTCTTGCCACTAGACCACCAAAGCTCCCTCTTTATATAAAGGTTAATTTCTGTCCACTTGATAGGCTCATAATAATGTCTGCATACCTCTTAAGTCAAGATTTGGTTGTTGGAAGCTACAAGAGTTGACATTTTATCAATATTTCTTTTTTTTCCCTCTCTTATTTGTCTATGATTTATAATGAAGAGTTTACAAGACCCTATGAAAAAACTAGTTGAAAAAGAAGGAAGGAAAAAGATCACCCAGCAGGAAAGTACAGAAGCAGCCACAGAGGATCCAAATCAGTAAGTTATGTGCTATTTCTAGAAAATCTTTCTTTCCTTAGATATGGGTAGCAAAATTCTTGCTGACCAGATTTGGTGGGGGCCTCAGACACAGGAATTGCCTTTTACTTCCTGACTTCTTGGTGGTGGTGGTTGTTAGGTGTATTCGAGTCAGAACTGACTCATAACTGACCTGCTACCAGGTGTGCAAAGGCAGGAAATCACACCTGAGGAGATGGCCTGTCTTTCTCTTGCAGAGCAGCTGGTGGATATGAACCATGTGTCTTTGAGTTGGCAGCACTGCTCCTTACCCACTCAGCCACCAGAGACCACTTGACAGATGTATTCAGAGTCCTACAGTCTTCAGCACATATTCCTGGTGAACTTTGGATCTCTCAATCCAATGAAAAAAAATTCTGTAAATCTGGGTGGGGGACTAGTGACTGAGTAGTAAGAAATTGTGCTGTCAGCTCAAAGGCAAATGGTTCAAATCCACCAGCTGCTTGGTGGGGGTGGAGCGTGGGAAGGCAAGGAATCTCTCCTGTGAGATTTGCAGCCTCTGAAAGTCTGCTGAAGGGTCAATTGTGAGTCAGTTCTGACTGAATGGTACATTATAACAGCATTGTTGTGGTAAGTATGTTGTTGCTTGTGACTCATAGCAACTCTATGCATAGTAGCCCTGAACCCTGCCCTGTCCTGAGCCAGTCTCACTGTCTGTGACACACCTACCCTCATTACTTCAGTTACTGTGTCAATCCATCTCATCTGGGCTCTTGCTCTCCTGTGTTTTAACAAAACATTTCTTCCCCCCCCCCCATTTTTCTACATATGCAATGTCTTGTTTTCTACCATTCAGATGATTTTTTTTTTTTGCCTCTGTAAAATAGAGTAGTGTGTGTGTGTTTTTTAATGTTTATTTCTTTTTTTTTATTATTTCAATGAACATCTACAGAGATTTTGGAATTCCATTCATTCATTGTTGCACTTTTCTCCCCGCCCACCCTCTCACCCCAGTTCGCTCCTCTCCTTGAAAAGCAAAAAAAAAACTTCATTGGTATACAATCCTCCACCCCGCACACCCCCACCCCCACCCCAAATATAATCCACTCTGCAACTCTCATTCCGTACTCTTATGATAAACATAATGCCCTAAAATATAATATTTTTAAACTATTCAATACAGAGTAGTTTTGAGTGCAGGAAGTAAGTACTTCATCTTCATATCGTCCTCTTTACAAAGAAAACACCCCAGGAAATCATTTTAACTAAGATGAACTTTGTAACATGCTTCCTAATCTTCCACAGCATCAAGCAGCTTTATATGTGAATCTATGTCATTTTCTTTTGAGCACGTGAGAGTTGGTCATTGAACTGATTAACCAAAGAAAGTGAAGTCAATCTTTTTTACCTCTATTTATTCCTTTCCAAGCTCCAAAAAAGCTTAGATGATAATCTTGTGTTAAACCAGGCTTTATCTTTTCCTTTGTTTCTAAATAAAGTTTCAAATGTACTTTTGTCCCGCAAAATATTTGCTGCCAATATTAGCCCTATTTAATTTTAAAGCTATTACTAGAAAATTTCTTTAGTGCAGAACAAAGGTACATCTTCAGTAGGATGAACTAAAGTGTGTGATCTATATCCAAGACAACTATTTCAGGGAGAATTGGTCATTTATTTCTGGCAGTGGCAGTAATGCTAGCCATCTTTGCCTGAGCACCTCTAATGTGCTGTACACAATGCTAGACACTTTGTTTCTCTCAGCTCATTCACCTGATAATTCTGTGTCATCACTGTAAGTAGACTCATGTTTACAACTGACCGGAGGGAGGTGCAGAGGTTTTAAGAGGCTGCTCACGGTCCCTTTTATAGTACTAGAGCCCAGAATCCCGGAGCCTCCTTTTCTCCATATAAGTTCTATCCAATCAAAATAAAGCATATGCCTTTACTTGAAAGGGGACTGCATAGAATTATCTTTTAACTAATTATAGACTTCTCAGGTATTTTAATTTTTCATTTAAAAAACTCAATTATGTAACCCAGTAATAATTTTAAATGATAGTGAAAATGTAATAGAGGCACTAATGCCCCTTCCTTGTCCTTAAAGATAAGGTCAGAGTCAAGGAGGTAACCGTCTCTCTGGGTTTGAGAGTGACCTGGGCTTCAGCATTGATGAGTTTAACCCCCTGCACGTCTAGTGGGGTCAACGTCTTCTGGAAGACCAGGAACTGGGATAAATACCTGCTAGACAATCAGTTTTCAATCATGGTTTTTAAAAAGATGGTTAGCTTATTTATACCTAATTACCCATCTAGACATTTACAGAATATCTCTTCAGGATACAAATAAATTCACATACTAAGATTCTCCTAAGCATGGTGCTAGGAGAGGCCATTCCTCGGAAAGGGATATCATGCTTGGAAAGGTGGAGGGTGGACAAAAGAGAGGAAGCCTCCACTGAGATGGATTGCCATGGTGACTTCAGCAAAGGGCTCAGATGTACCAGAGATGAGGAGGATGGCACAGGATAGACCAAGGTCTGGTCTTTTGTTCAAAGGATCACTATGAGTCGTACTCAACTCCATAGCACGGAACATCAACCACCCACCAGCCTTAGGGAACGAAGGTTGTGTATCATTTTAACTGAAAAGCCAGCAGTTTAAATCCACAAGCTGCTTCAAACAAGAAAATGGACAGTCTCTTCCCATGAAGATTTACTTGAAGGAGCCCAATCATGGGTCACTATGGGTCAAAACCAACACTATGACAGTAGGTTTGGGTTGAGGGGGTTGGTTTTGTTTTATTTTGTTTTGTTTGTTTGTTTAACCAGCCTTGGGCCAGGAAAAAGAGAATGATTATTTCTTTTCTTTCTATATCAGTGGCAAGTAAATGACTATGTGCCTGCCCTTTCATCTGTGTGTATATGGTGTTGTTATATGTGAAGTAATACTTACACTATACTCAGTGTTTATACTGAAGTAGTACTTATGTTTCCTAATGTTATGCTCAACAACTGGTGCATCAATAATATGCTATTTGCAGGAGTTGGTACTAAATGTCTTTTTCTTTTATTATAAGGTTAATTTCATTGGCCGATGAAAACCAGAGCAAGGAATCCTCTAGTTTTAAACGTAAGTTTTTCTTTTATTTAGAATTGCTTCTGAAATACTACTTAATACTCAAAAGCTATTTTTTTTTTTCAAATCTTACCTAGGCCTTTTCTTCTTTTCCAGTTGAGAATGGGCTATATTGATTTTCTTCTTGTAATTGCAATTAAAATTTTCAGGTGTGATCAATAGTACTCCTATGGCATTACTCAGAGAGGCTGTATGTTTTTAAGTAGACAATTAGTTGTGCTCGCTTCAGCAGCACATATACTAAAATTGAAGCAATACAGAGAAGAATAGCATGGCTCCTGTGTAAGGATGACACGCAAATTCCTTAAGGGCTCCATATTTTTGACACCATGCTTGGGAAGGTGGAGGGTCGACAAAAGAGAGGAAGAGCCTTCAGTTGCATTGACACAGCAACTGCAGTGATGGGCTGAAGTGTGTCAGAGATTGTGAGGTTAGTACAGGATTCAGATCTGTTAGTCATAGGGTTGCTATTAGGACTATTCAATTTAGTGGCACCAAACAGTAACAACAGGATTAATCAATTCAGAATCCTTGCCTCAGAGGACTATCTAGGCTTGAGACCTGACTGAAAGCTATTTCTCTTGATAACAAATATATAAAATCAGCTATTATCATTTAATCACTCTGTTTTAGGCTGAAGATGTCATTTTAATAAAATTGAGTTGTTACACAGTAACAATAAGATTGTTAAGTAGACTCTTGGTGGTTTGTGGGTGTTGACCTTTCACTAGGATAGATGGAGAGCTAAGCTCAGACATTGCTTTTCGAGGTGACCCTCAGTGTGCCCTACAATGAGTGGTACCGGATTCACCTGATGGATTTTAGTTGATGTGTTAGGGAGTGTGTCTAGAGTTTAGAGTACTGGTTGATGATACAGTGTGCTGTCTAGTCAGTCTTTCTGTTTTCTGTCAGTTTTCTCATTGAATCCTCTTCTGATAAAGAGCACTTGAGTATAAAAATAGTGGTTGAATTTTGATGGAATACTGACCCTCTCCTCTGAAACTCAGAGCTTTTGGGTACTCAAGAAAATGTAAAGGGTTTATGCAGACAATTCCAGTTAGCTCAGCCCTCTCCTCAGGCTGACCCTGCTGGGGACATTTCTTCTCCCTGCCTTTCCTATGGAAACCTTTCAGAGAGTGAGGAGGCAGCAGTACAGATTTGGGGGCTTCCCCACTGCTCCCTCCTTCTCCTTTACCCTCTTTTCTGGTCTGTTATCTCACTTTTCAGACCACTTGCTTCGTCTGTTTTCTTCATTCCTCAATTTCCTCTTTTATTAGCTTTCTCTCTTTCTTTCAATAGAAATTTTTTTTTTTTGCCTCTGTGCCTTGATTCCATGTCATCTGTTGGTGCATAAATATCTTCACTGCTTCGTGTATGTGTTCACTTGTCCAACAGATGTTCATTGTGAGTTGTTTCTGTGCCAGGCCTAACATGCACTAGGACCTGAGCTTCTGATGGGACCACAGACATACTCAGACCCCTCCTTGTTGGGAATTACAGCCTAAAGAGGAAGCAGCTGCTAATATTGTAATTGACAAGTAATTAAACCATTTCAACTTGGACAAGAGCCACAAGAAGTAGTACAGGGCTAAGGGCAGATGTGACAGGGAGTACCAGGGAACCAGCTAAATAAAGTACTGTGCTGAGATCTGTCAACATAAAAGAAACAACCTTGACAGCAACTGTTTCGAGTCTATAGGTGGTGCATACAGTCTCTGCACTTACCTGGCAGGTGAAAGGTTGGTACTTCGAGTCCATCCAAAAATGCCTCAAAAGCATTTTTGATGCATATCATATGATGATATGATGATCTACTTCTGAAAAATCCACCATTGAAAACCCTATGAAATACAGTCTGACAGTCAGGATTGAATCAGTAACAGCTTGGGGCGGGGGGGGGGGGGGCATGTTGACATATATGAGCCAATAAGAGCCAGGAGAAGGTCAGAGAACGTGGCTTGTTCCAGAATGTCAGGTAGGATGTAGAAGGGGGAGGAAAGCAGAGAGAAAAGTAGAAACCAACCTAATTAGCCATGTGTGAGCTCTCTGACCATGTTAACCCAAGCCCTTGGTGTCCCTGTCAGAGTTCTGATACCAACTGCATGAATCATTAATGTGATGGAAATCAAGGTAATGAAGTAGAAAATCTTAGTTCTGTGGGAAAAATGTTAAGAGCCGGTTTATTCTATTCTTATTCAAGTTACGTGTTATGTATAAATAAATAACAATCTGTACCTAAACAAGAGGCTCACATGTTCTTGTGTAATACGGCCACTTACTTGCAGGAGTTACTTGCTATTTTGAGATTATAAATGCTGATTACTTTGTTTTATATACATAGAATGGAATCCTTCATGATAAAGTGTCATCCGTCTTATTCCGTCATCTGCAAAAAGTTTAAAGTACACTATGAGTAAATTAAATTTTAAGGCTGTTCTTTTCCCTTTTTATTTTAACCAGACTCATATGACTCAAGTTCATTAGCACCATCAAGTTATATTACTCTAATTTATACACTTTGCCACAGAAGGAGAATTGTTCAATTGGTGTCATGGTGTTTTTGGGTAAATTCTAAAATGAAATCAGAGATTAAGAGCTGTTCATTTTAAAAAAAATAATTCACTGATAGCCAACAGCTGGAGTAAAATGTGACTCCAGAATCCCTCTTTTGTGTGAGCGCATTTGTGGGTGTCACTTCATCCTGAAGCTGTGTTTTTCTTACACTGAATTATGAACATGTCTACAATTCTGCATTGATGTAACCCTTTGCATGATGTGTTGTTTACAGCTGAAGATGGAAAAAGTGTTCTATCTGCCTTAGACAAAAGCTGTACACATGATGTGTCCTCAGGTAATCTGGATTAAGGAAAGCTAATACAGTTTAATAATTTGAACCTAACTCCTTACAAAGTGAAACTAACTCTTAATTTTGTTTTCTCTCCCACTCCCCCCAAAAGGACCTGTAGATGAGTTATTAGATATGAAAGCTGAGGAAGGGGGTAAGATTTGTTCACTTCTTTGGGGTTATAATATATTTAAATATCTAATTTTTTACGTGCAGAAAAATATACTAACCTTTTGAATAACTTTGTATTTCTAAATGAATTATTTTTAGATTTTATTTTGTAAAAAATATGAAATATATCTAAGTACAAATTCATACATTACAGTAGTAGACTTGCCATTTCTAATGTCGTTTTATAATGCCTAAACTGTTGTTGTCTCTGTACTGTCAGAACCAACCCATAACTGACTCTTCAGCAAATATTCAGAGGCAGTAAATAACGTGGGAAGAAATGAACTCATTTTTCTCCCATGGAGCAGCAGGTAGATTTGAACCTTGTGCCTTTAGGTTGGAGGACAGCTCGTTACCACTAGGCCATTAGAGCTTCCTAAAAAGTCTTTTTGAAAAAGACTTAAAGCTAAATCAAAGCCAGACTAAAGCTAAAGGTCATTATAGTAAAAGTCACATGCTGCAGTATAAAAATCATGACCTTCTGGGATCAGACATAGATTTGAATCCTAATTTTACTATAAATAACTTATATGGCTTAAAGTAATTTACTTCTTACTTAACTCCTCTTATCCTCAGTTATTCTCATTTATAAAATGGAAACATTAGCAAATGGTAAATTACTGGTCAGAATTCAAGAGTCTGTGTTTGTAAAAGGTTTTTTCGTGGTATCTGGCACAGAGAAGAAGCTCTTTAAATGGTAGCTAGTTGAGATTGTAGAACTAGGTTTACTGTCTTTGTTGCATACATTGCCATTGAGCCTTTGTTAAGTGCATGGGGATGTTTGCCTGGCCAAGTCCTTCACTTAAGTTCACTGAACCTAAGTTCATTCAGAACAATGAATTTAAATGAGACTGGATAGGCCTAGGCAATCCTAAGAAATTGAGTCCATGCCATAGGCTGTACATAGGCTGGATGTCCTTACTCCAAAGCGTTTCCTACAGCTGATTTGCTGTGAGTCCTGAATCCTTTCCGATCCCAAACCAAACTCTTGAGATGCCCTTGTCCTGGAGACTGGGGCACCATTGGCCTTGATATTACAGGTTTATTATTGGATTAGCAGTCAGCCAAGGGCATCCTTGAAAGCCCCACTGAACCAAAGCCAAGGATCCTTTCAGCTAGTTCTGCGTTGTATTTGGATATAATTTCTAGAGTGTGAGAGGAAGAAAGTATCTGCAGAAAACAGGCCCCTGGTTAAAGTTTTATTTTTGTTTTGTTTTCCAAGACAGACAGGAACCACAACTATGGTCTTACCTTTACAGGGCTTCAGCGTATAAACCTGAGGGCAGAAACCTGTTTTCCTTATTCCTATCCTGCTTTAGGCAATAGCCTGCAGGCCTGTGCTTTCATCCAGGCCTGTGATTATTTTGTCAGAATGACTACTCAGATGTAAATATTGAAGGCCCTATCAGGTGAAGAGAATAATAAACAAGCAGTTCTTAAACAAGGCAATAAGCAGATTGCCTTGCATGCCTCCAACTGACATTTTAAAATTTTGCCTTTGGCTTAAGGATAAACTCTGTTGCAGGAATTAATGCATTTTTAAGATCTCTCTTTTAGAGTTTGAGTGGTTAAACCTTACCAAAGTGAGAGGAAGCAAGTAATATTAATAGCTACTCAGTACTCAAGGCTCTCTTGATTGCATAAGAAGTTTACATTATCAGCAACCCAGAAGACGGGCAATCAGAACCACCGGGAAGAACTATGGAAGAAAAGCCGACCGTTTGCTTCTGTAACAATACCAGCCTGGAAGACTTTATGGAGCTCAGTTCTACTCTGTAGCACATGGGGTCACCAGGAGTCAGAATTGGCTCAATAGGACCAAGTTTTGTGGTTTTGAGTGCCCACTGCTAAGCTTTGCCTGTCTTAGCCTTTAGCAAATGTAATTTAGTACCGCAAAGAGCTCTGAAGGCCCAACGGTCAAATCCACCAGCTACTGCATGGGAGGAGAATCTCCTTCCATGCAATTTACTGCCTCTGAAGACGCGCTGGAGGGTCAACGATGAGTCGGCCAACAGGACAGTAAATAACAACAACATGTATGCTCCTGTTTATTTTTATATGAAGGGTTTTCTTTTTTCCTCCTATTCCCACCATTTCTCTTTATGTACATTTCACCATTGCTTTTATCAGCTTCTAATTTCTTTAATAAACTTAATTTTTAGAACAAGCGGTATGTTCACATTAGTACCAAAAAAACCAAGATTATAATAAAAAGTAATAAAAATGTCATTTCCATCCCTATTCCCAGCCATTTGTGCCAGTGTCCCCAAACCTCAGTGCACCCTCCCATATTCATGTCCATTGTTATTGTTGTTGTTAAGTTCCATTAAGTCAGGTACAATTCATAGTGCCCCATGAGCAGATATGAACCCTGTCCAGTCCTGGTTCTATCTTCTGATATATTTGATCTCATTGCTGCAACACCATATCATCCCTTCTCAGTGAAGGTCTTTCACTCTTTCACTGATCCTCCACTTTCCAAGCATAAGGTCTCCTACCAAGGATTATCCTCTCCTACCAACATGTCCAAAGTATATGAGACGAAGCTTAGCCATCCTTGTCTCCAAGGAACACTCCGGCTGCATTTTATGCAAGACATGTTTGTTCTTTTGGCAGTCCACAAGACACTCAGCACTCTTCTCCAACACCACAACTCAAAGGCTTCGATCTTTCTTCTGTCATTCTTACTCATTGTCCAGTTCTCAAATGCATATCAGATCAGAAAAGACTGTGGCTTGAGTTAGGCACACCTTAGTCTTTAAGTTGCTATCATTGCTCTTCAATACTATAAAGAAGTCCCAGAAAGCACATTTTCCCAGTACAGAACATCTTTTTTATTTCTTGACTACTGGTATCAGTGGTATTGATTGTGGATCCAAACAAGATGCAATCATTGACAACTTTAGTCTTTTCTCTATCTGTCACAATGTTGCCTATTTGCCCATTGGTGAGGATCTTTGTTTTCTTGATCTTGAGATGTAATCCATATTGAAGGCTGTAGGTTTTAAATTTGTGTGGCAAGCATTTCAAATCATTTTCACTTTGAGCAAGCAAGCATAGCAGCTGGTAGAATCATACCATGTGCCTTTGGGTTGGCTGTGCAACTTTGCTGTGCTCTACAATGGATGAAAATGGTATTTGTAAGCAGGCAGGAAGATTGATTTGACTTTGTCACTGCCAAATCTCAAAGCTTTCCTTTGGTGATTAGCCCTTCCCTACTCTCTGCTGCCTCTTCAGTGCTGACAGCCCATAGGCCAGCATCGGCTTCAAAGCATTAACATGGCCCCTGGAATGACAGAAAACTTGAGGTGACTGAAAAGAACATTCATTAATTTGTTGACTTTAAAATGTATATTCTTTGGAAACTGCCGCAAGGCCCAATCTTGAATTAAAGCACTGATTATAATATGCAAGACATTAAACAGTCAAGAAATAAAAAGAACTTAATCCAGGGATGGCTGACTTTATAGGACTTACGGGCTATAAGCCCTAGCACCCTGCTGCTTGAGGCTGTTCATTCCCAGTGGTAATTCTGTTTGACGATGAATAGCTAACTGGAGAATAATGATATCAGGAAGCCTACCAATTAGTACAATAGCAATAATTCTCAAGGATCTATTGTCTGGAATATCTCTCTAATTCAATATCATAATGAAATGTGTTTCCCCCATACTAAATAGATAATCAAATAGAAAACTCGTATTTGACTACCATTTAGAAAATGGTTTGAGTGAAAGAGAAGCTCAGTGATATTTTCAAATGTTTGTATCTGGCTTTAATGTCACCTTCAGACCACATGTAATGATCTCAACCCCAATTCTTGAATTATAACTAGCAGAAGTATTTATGTCCTTCAGAGTCCCAGGTCTGTTGAACAGTCAGTAAGTGACCAAACAAAAAAGGTTCCTAAGAAATGGGAGAGCTTAATGAGTTTCATCTCACCTAAGTGTTTTAACTTGGCCACACCCAAAAGGTTTCTCTCTAGGACAAGACTAATAAAGCCAAATGGGAAGAGGAATTATCTGAATTATAGTTACTTTTCTTCGTGCCTCTGGATATTGTGGTTCCATATTATAGCTCCATATCAGGGAACTCTGGTGGTCTAGTGGTCTAGTGTCAAGAAGCTGAGCTGCAATCCCAAAGGCACATGGTTCAAGGCCACCAGCTGCTCTGCGCAAGAAGGTTGGGCAATCTCCTCCCATGCAATTAACTGCCTCTGAAAACTCACCAGAGGCTCAACTGTGGATTGGTTCTGACTCTATGGTACACAACAACAACAACACAACATCAGAATTGTTAGGTACCATAAATCTGGGTGAGAGCCCATTTCCTATAGTGATAATGCATGTTTGTATGTCTGCACCCAGAATTTTCTCCTCTCATTATTCATGTATTGCTGATTAGGGATCTTATAAAGTCTTGGATAGTATACTTGGTTGCTAACCAAAAGATTGGAGGTTTCAGTCCACTTAGAGGCAGTGGTCAGGGAAAAAGAAATCTACTTTTGAAAAATCAACCATTTAGCTTTATGGAAAACACATCTACTTTGGCATATACTTAAGAATCCTATGGACAAAATGGTGAACAATCCAGGAATCATTAAAAGAAGATGGAAGAAGTATACAGAGTCACTGTACCAAAAAGAATTGGTTGACACAGAAGAATTTCAAGAAACAACATATGATCAAGAGGCAATGGTGATAAAGGAGGAAGTTCAGGCTGCTCTGAAGGACCTGGCAAAGAATAAAGCCCCAGGAATTGATGGAATACCAATTTATGCATTTCAGCAAACAGAAGCTGCCCTGGACATGTTTACCAAGTTGTGCCAAGAAATCTGGAGGACAACCACCTGGCCAGCTGACTGGAAGAGATCCATATTTATTCCCATTCTAATAAAAGGTGACCTTACAGAGTGTGAAAATTATTGAATAGTATCACTGATATCACTTGCAAGCAAAATCCTGCTGAAGATAATCCAAAAAA